CGCCAACTAACAATAAATAAAAATCTTAATCAACAATTATCCAGAACCCAAAATAAGAGGCCCATTCCATAAACCCACTTCCTAAAGGGTAAAAGATCATTTTACCCTTTTCTCATTTGGCCCAAAACCAAGGCCCAACCTAATAGCACAAAAAAACCCAAAATGGCAACCCAAAGCCCAATATGGCCCAACTTCTTAGTTGGGCCCAAAGCTCTCATGGGACCAATACCAAGAAACCCCACAGTCTAACAATGGCCAAAAATCAAATGTCCAATGGCCCAACAAGGCCCAAATTAAATGAACTAGGGAGTACGCGCTGCGTACTCGAGAGGTACTCCCCGCGTACTCAGTCTAGAAGCACAAGGTACAAACGAGCGATGCATAATTCAGCATTACGCTGAACGTACCCCCATGTACGCCCAACATACTCGTTAGAAGCCTAAAACCATCCTTAAGCTCTTAATAGGTTAATCCAATATGTCCAAAACATAGATCTGATCCATAGACAAGGTTATAACCAATAAAGTTGCCAACTTTACTCTCATACATGCCTTAAACGGACTCAACACTTAAAATGGAGCTTAATAAAGGTTCTAATGCATTCATGGACCAACAACTTCCATAAAGTTTGCATTTTTATGAACAAGGGATCTTATTGGGGCTTAGATCTAGTATCCATTACTTCTGGAGTAGATCAAAATATCAACTTTACTTCAAGGAACTAAAAAATGCCAAAGAAACACCATAAAGTAAATCCAACCAAAAATGATCATCAAGGTATAAATGTTTTTACCTTAGAAAGCTTGCAAACGAGAAGATACTCCTGGATCTACATGATCAATCCACTCCTCTAAGTAGTCCTATTCTTCTTCTTTACCACAAAACACCCACAAATCACTTTCCAAGCTTAAAAATCACCAAAAGCACTTAGGGTTCGAATCTAGGGTTTAAAAGGGATGGAGGCTGATAATATTAGGGTTAGGTCATGAGATAAGGAGCTTAAATATGATCCAAGACCCTAAATTAGGGTTTGCATGAAACTCAAGTACGTCATGTGTACTCCTATTTCTCTCAACATACTCCTTAAGCGTGTCGTGATCCTCTTCCCTAGTCCGCCCCAACTCAACTAACTCATCCCGATTCCAACTCGACTGCACTCCAACTCAGCTAACTCAGTCATGGACAACCCAATAGCCGACATCATGACGTGAAACTTCGTTTGTCATGTCGTGATCACATCTAGAAAAGTTAATCAAGTAATCATCCATCGTTACGTCGTGACACTCTGCTGGTCACGACCTGACCATTGCTTGAAGAAAAATTGTAATGGTTTGAATCTTTAATCCTATAAGTCTTCAACTCCAACTTTTCTAGAAGCTTTAGGGATTTAAAAGGTCCATAAAATGATAACTTTAAGGATATGTATACTCAATGCATCTCCTCTACCCGACCTAGGACCAAAAGCCATGAAATTTACCTAAAACACTTGCAAGGTTCTCAAACCACTTCCCAATCTTAGATCCACAAGGTATAATGCTCCAAGGACTTAAGAGGACCATAAAGTTGCTAACTTTAATACATCACATCACTCAAATGAAAATCATGAACCAAAAAGGGACCAAAATAACTAGATCTAAGAGAATAACTCATAAAGATAAAGACTTGAATCCTTACAAATAGTTCAAAATGTGAAATGATAGATGTTATGATGTTGCTTGCTTGATCCTTGCACCAATCCTTATTCTTCTTTCTTCAAAGTGCACTAATACCACTTAGGATGAGAAAAAACCACCAAGATTGATTAGAGTTAGGGTTTTATAAGGTTTGAGGGTGATAGAGGCTGATAATGAACCCTAAAATCGAGCTGATAGGGTTTAAATACAAAGGAAATCCTAAAAATCATGGGCTTGGGCTGCAACCTTCCTTACTTTATGCCCACCTATGATCCATGTCATGACCACAATCTCGATATGTGTTCTTCATTTTCATTTGTCATGTCATTACCTCGGCCACGTCGTAACACCTGGTTTTTCCCAAAATCCAAGCTTTTGAATCCTTAATACCTTAATCCGATCCATTTTGGAAAACGGTTGTTACAGATGAATCAAAATATACTTATCACATTAGTTATTATTACCTAATGATTCAATATAGAACCTAATGGAGAGTTGTTTGAACAAATTAATGGTACAGATAACTTAGATAAATATAAATATAAGTATTATGACTATGAGGAAAATGGTCACACCTAAGGAAATACTTTGTTTGAGGTATGCCTCCCCTATTACAAATGTTATAACTGATTTCAACATATACATCACCAATTGCCCATGAACCAATGGAAAATATCAAAAACATGTTAGTGCTCTAAAGAGCATAATATATGAAGCTATCTATTGGATAAAAATGTGTTCACGAGTGATTAGAAATTAGAATCATGAAATCTATGAAAACATTTATCAGACTAAACTTCATGATAAGAAGTATAAACTATGGATTCATGCTACATGATACAAAAATGTTAATTTGTTTCAAGTTCGACTTATCATAGAAGAACATAGATGCTTAAAAATCTAAATACATCCCCACCATTTCCAAGCAAGTAAAAAGTCTTGTGCCATTTTAGATGTTGTAATGGTTAACTGTAATAAGATTGGATATTATGGGAACGCATAACATCAACATATCAATCCTCGATATAAACTATCATAAGATTAAATCGTCTATAAAGGTATTATATATTTTTTGTGATTCTCATTTTGTCAGAATACGTTCTTGATAATCGTATTCAGTAAGAATGAGAATGAGTGAAAAACAATGCGTGAGAACAATTACGAATAAAAATTAATAAGAATGCATGATAATGATGATATTATGTGACGTCGAATGTATTCTCATTACCAAACACCCTATCCTCTTAGGTATTCTTATAGAATAACACTATCCAGGCACGTGCGCACAACAGATAGCATCCACATTTTTATCTCTCTCTCTCTCTCTCTCTCTCTCTCTCTCTCTATATATATATATATATATATATATATATATATATATATATATATATATAGATATTGAAAAACAATGCGTGAGATCAAAAACGAATAAAAATTAATAAGAATGCATAATAATGACGATATTTATGTGACGTCGAATGTATTCTCATTACCAAACACCTTATCCTCTTAGGTATTCTTATAGAATAATACTATCCAGGCACTTGCCCACAATAGATGGCATCTACATTTTAATATCTCTCTCTCTCTCTCTCTCTCTCTCTATATATATATATATATATATATATATATATATATATATATATATATATATATATATATATATATATATATATATATATATATATAACATGTTTTTTTTAACTTACAAAAATATAATAATATCACTATCAAATCTAATTAATATTTTGTATCCATTTTAATTAATTTTATATTGTATGTATTAATTTTGTAAGTTTTTAATATATTTGTAGTGTTTATTGTTTTATTTATTGAAATGTTATTTTAAATTTATTTATTTTAGTTTAATTTACCAAATGTTTAATTTCAAAAACAATGTTTTTTTTTAATTGAGTAGATTAGAAGGAGATGTGAGATATGAGTTTACATTTGTTTTGCGTTTGGAATTGGATGAATGGAAGCTAAAAGAGGAAGAAAAACTAATATAGTCGTTATGTGATAAATTGGTTGAGAGGGATGTGAAAGATTGACTGATTCCCTAATGAAATTTTTTATGGCATCAAAAGTTAACTCAAAATGTATTGAAATATGTGTTTATATTATATTAACGTGGAAATAAAATTTTCTAAATTTAAATTAATTTACTCTAGAGAAATATAATTCCGCCAAACTTACGCTTGTTCCTTAGTTTTTTGTAAATTTATTAAAAGAAAGGGAGAGAAAATATTAACGGAAGGAAAGGAAACGGAAGGAAAATTTTATTTAAACCGTGTTTCCGAGTTCGAAGGAAATGAAAGTAAAATGTTTAGTTTATGTGTTTCCGAGTTAGGAAGGAAAATAGAAGAAAATTAAAATATTACAATTATACCCCTATTTACACATCATATTAAGAACATATAAACAATATGAATAAATTACAATGGAAATCAAAATCAATCAAAAACATTAAAAATAAAAATAATAATAATAAAAAAAAAAACAAACAAACAAATGAAGTCCAACGCAACCTACTATAAAAAAAACAAAAAAAAAATCTCGTAAAACCTAAAGATATGACTCAATTTTTAGCTTCACTCGTCATATTTTTTAAAAAGATCTTCCTCATTCTCATTGAAAAAATAAAAATTGTCTTAGCATCGGCTTGATTACGTGACAAATATATGAAACCATCTGCAAATTCATCGTCATCCAAACCCATCAACTCTAACTCTTTCTCGATTTCCTCACATGTATAGTCACGAGATTTGTTCCCTTCCCTCATTGCATCAACGATTTTTTTTTAATGTTTTCACAATATTGTGTTCAAAAGATTCAGGTTGAGGTTGAGGTTGAGGTTAAGGATCATGTTCAGCTACTACTTCATCTTCATCTTGAAGTTTGCTTTCTAGGTTTTTTTTTTACTCTTCAACTTCTTAGCTTTTGAAATTCCATTAGGTGAAACATCTATTGCTGACACTATTTGAATGTCCTCATCATCATCTTTGTGTTCGTTCTCCAAAATTACCTCCTTATTTGTCATTAGTTTATCCACATCAACAATTTTTTCTGTTTTAATTTCTTTGGATTTGTTTAACCGGGTGTTTTTTTCTTTTGTTGCTTCCGCTTTTGATTGCAATGCTCTATCATCTGAAAATAACATCATCAACTGATTGTAGTTTGAAATTTTTTTGGTCCTGAATGCAGCTGCTTCAGGGTTTGCTTATTTATAAACAAACCAAAAAATTAATTAGTAAAGTTAATAGTAAAAAAAATTATATAAAACAATAAATCAAACGTAAAACCAACACGTACTTTAATTAATTGTTCTCATACTTCCTCCTCTGCTTCGATGTTTTTTGTTTGAGAATTCCATGAGAACCCACTCAACGAAGTACCCCGATACATATCATACCATTTACTAAAATTACTTTTTAAAGTTTTCATTCTGTTTTTAAGTTGATCTTTTATAATAGACTTGTTAAACTGTTTACTCAACCCTGCAATCATGTTCACATATGTTTGCGAAGTGAATGTAGCATTCACCCGATTACCTATATCATCTTCCTTTACAAGAGCTTCAACTAGAACATTATCCATATGATCTGTCCATGTTAAATTTTCTTTTTTCACAACACTTCCATCTGCTGCCCTTTTGATCATGATTGTTCTGTACATACAAAGATAACATAACGAGAAAAGCATTGTTAAAAATTGTAAAAATATTTACAAAAAAGAAAGGGCTCATAATTTAAATAACACCATCAAAAAAAAAATTTGCTAATGTCACTACAAAATTAAACTAAATTAACAGAATGAACTAAAACTGATAAATTGTTGATCTACTATAAAACTAATTAGACATATCTATTTCATTATTTTGTTTCAACAAGTAATCATTCCACATTTGAGTTGTAATAGCGTTCCTCAATTCCTCAGACCCATCACTACGCACATGTCTGTTATTAACATCATGTCTCACTTGTTGTGGTTGTTCATCCAACACCTCTTGTAAGACTTCATGTTCAAGTTTTTTTATCACGATCTTCGTCTAGTAGAAAATTATGTAAGATACAACATGCCACAAAAATGTCCGATTGTGTGTCGCAAGAGTAAAAAGGTTCTTGTGTACTTCTAACGACTGGGAACCTTCTTTTTAAAACACCAAATGACCGTTCTATTGCGTTACGTAAAGAAGCATGTTGAAGATTGAACAACTATCTTGCATTCACTAGGGGTGAGTAGAATACTCTTTCAAATGATGCCTGACACCTCTATATGGTGTCATTAGCTCAATGGTATGAGGCAAACCAGCGTCTACCAAACAATATCGGCCTATAATTAACATGTAATTAGTTTTTTAATAAAAGACTACACACAAAATTAAATTAGTTAACAAAAATTACCCCTAGGAATTAGTAGCTTATCGTCTCTTTTAAGTGCATCTTTCACTATCCTTGAGTCTGAGACAGTGCCCTCCCACCCAGTTAAGATGTATGTAAACTTCAAATCAAATGGACATGCGGAGAAGACATTTATGGTAGGGTAACCCTTGCGACCATGATATCTAGGGACATCTCTATTGGGTACTTTTACACGAACATGTGTCCCGTTAATTGCCCCTACACAATTCTTGAAGTAGGGATAAAATCTCTTTTTCTCTTGAATTTCTTTCGGGACCACATCACCTTTAGGTTGTTGAATGTAGTAACTTTCTAGTGCTACAACCGCGTTAAGAACTCTATGGAAGCACCTACTTGTTGTAGATTTAGCACGGCCATAAATGAAGGAGACCATTATATTTCTCATATCGTTACCTACGATGTGTAAAAACCTTGCAACATGTTATTCAACAGACATGCGTTGCGTAGATCGCAGTCCACCATCACGTCGTAAGATAGTACACAACTTTCTAAAAGCTTGTTCACTCACACGTATAAGCTCACGACATTTCCCACCTTTAATAAGTTTGTGTAATAGTCGTTCTCATTCATGTTGACACTTTAATATTTCTTCCTTACTAAGTAAACTATGGTTATTTTTTTTTCGAAATTCTACGTTGTATTACAATGGCCATGAACATCAGAGTAACCACTAGCCTTCGTCTTTTTTCCCCATCATCATCTTGGCTGGTCATGGCACTTTCCTAATACTAAAAATTCATTTGATCAAGAAAAAGAAAAAAAAATTCATTAGCTATGTGAATTTGAACTCGAAGTCAGCTCATATGCTACCTCTTGGACCACTTTGAAGTTTAAAACTATGCATAAAGGTTATTATTGATCTTACTCTACTTTTACTGCTGCAGAACAAATGGAATAAGCTAGAATGATCTTGCCAAAGAACTTGGCATTAAAAACAACATATACAATATATTAAGGAATCTTGAGACTTGTGGGTTAATTGTGAGGAAATCAACAATAGTAAGGAAGAAAGAAGCTAGCAATGAATTGGAAGACAAAGCAGGTTCAATATTAAACACCAATATGCTCCACTTATATCGTTATGCAAAGCATTTGGTAAGCTTGCAAAGACTTGAAATTACGAAAGAGAACGATGCAGACAGAGGAGTTGTTACAGAAGATGGTGATTCTGAAGAACACATCAAAGAGGATGTACACATAAAAGACTATGCATCTGATATGAAAGCTATCTGTGGTACACTTGAAAAAGCTGATGACAAGGTTACCATCATAACATAAATTGTAATATATCACCTAGCAACATTAGTCTTTGTCTTTTAGGCCAGCAAAACATATATAACCTCTCATGTTCAAGTAATTTTTGTATATACTCATAAGTTGTATAGCTCATCATAACATATATTGTACATCTGTTATAAAAGGATTATATAAATCCCATAGTGTTATTCGGGTGTTTAGGTGTTATGTGATTCATGAATCAACAAAAACAACAAAAAGTAGATGACAGGAAGCATCGATCACAGTGAAGTCACATGCAGTTTTTTATAATCTTTTCATATTCAATGGTTTCATGCATACACAAGATGATTAGATGGAGGAATTGAGCAAGAAGATTGTACAGGGATATGGAAGATATACCTGATCAGGGGGACAAATTGAATTGCGGGGTCGACTTGAGCAGGGGTAGACGAATGAGAATTCTATATGGAGGTATTGATTATGCGGCTACATGATTTTATAAATAGGGTTGAGGGTATTATGGTCCGTAATATATTCAGTGTACGTATCCTTCAAGTTTTCTTCCCAAATCCGCCCAAATTAGGAGGAAAAATTGGAAGGAAAATGGGGCTTCAAAATCCTTCACCTCCCCCCACTTTCCTTCCATAATTTAAACTCAGGAACAAGGTTTTCCGTCCATATCCCTCACCTCACCTCCAAATCCTCCCGTTTCCGTCCTTAAGTACAACAGGGGAACAAGCTGGTAGGGTTTACTTGCACATTATAAAAAATAACTATTTTCATTTGATGATTTGATTTTTATACTTATTATTTTAGTTAATGAGAAAGAATCATGATAAAAATATAAAAATCTAATCACTAATAAAATTGATTAATAAAAAAAATCAAATTGAAATATCATCTCTTATGTTAAGAGTCTATAATTTTCTCTCTTAATTAGGTAAACAATAAACCAACAATCGAATAATGTAATTTATTTGAATAACAAAACCTTACACATCGGTTAACATAAACTGGGCTTTGGCCGAGTTACATAAAAGCTTTTAGGCTTACTCAATTGTCAAGTATGTAAAAGCAACCCAAGCTTGAACATGTTGTGGGCTTGTGGCCTGCTTGACAATATAATTAAAAAAAAAAACGTTTATGTCGTTTTTTATTGTTGAAGACAATATTTTTAATTACTTTTATTATTATTATTAAGGCTTTGAAGATATGAGTTTGTCACTTAACTTGATGTTTTGTCTTTATTTTATTATTATAACATTTAATTATTTGTTTATGAAGTTTTCTGTCTGCGTGTCATCTATGTGGATTTGTTTCTTTATATTTCACATCATATGTATGGGTTGGTTTGGGAATTAAATTCCTAACTAATCAGTTTCGGTTACCGATTAAAATCGCTTAAATCTGGTTAACAGCTATAGAGTACTTTGTGTAATGAATTAATAGCCACTAATATTTGTTGTTGAATGTGGTAATTGATGTAATAACACATGTATTGTTATTGTAGGTGGGTTCAAAATTATTACGAGTTCAGGTAGGTTTTTACGTTTTTGTAGTCTGGAATTGAGAAATTGGGATTAGAAACCATCGACTTTGTTTATGCTTTTGATTAAGAACAAGATGAGAGTTGTACGTATTCCCTTAAACTGCTAACTAATGTCATTCACTAATGTTTGAGAATATAGATGATTCTTGCATTCTTTCCAAAACAAGGTAAATTCCGAATTTTAGGAGGAATTCCTAAAATATGAGAAGATTAATGATCATTAGTGATTCATTGAATTTTTTTAGATATAATAGGTGTGCTAATTCTGGGACAATGTAAGGTGGTGTTAGGCCTGACAATTGGGTTGGTTCGGGTTGGCGGGTCACAGGTTGACAGGTTAGAAAACATAAACCCAACCCAACCCATATAATATATGAGTTGACGGGTTGGCGGATCACGGGTTGGTGGGTTGGAAATCTCAATCCAACCCAACCCATATAACCCGTTTAACTATATGTGTTCGCAGATTCACAAGTTAATAGATCAAACACAACTCATATAACATGTTTAATAAATAAACAACATATTTTAAAAAATAAGGTTTTTTGAACTTAAATTCATAAAATATTAAAGTAATTAACATAAAAAAAAAATGTTTTCAATATAAATTCATAAAGTCAATAATATAAAAATAAAAATGAAAAATGAAAACATTCATAGAAAGTGGTTGTGTTCTTCGTTCGTGACTCGTTAAAATAACGACATGTATTATTTATTTTTCTGATTAACGAACCGCAAATGCAGATTAGTCACATACGAATACAATGATATGGAATATTACAAATAGAGATGGAAATCAAATTTGATTAATAATTAAATATATCAATTTTTTAAATGTAATATATATATATATATATATATATATATATATATATATATATATATATATATATATATATATATATATATATATATATATATATATATATATATATATATATAGAGTCAAGATCAAATAAGAAGGAAATTTTTGGTAGGAAGGTAAGAAGTTTTTTTTCTACATATTTCTTTCGCGAACAAACAAAATGAATCATTAGATGATTCATTTGTAAGATGATTCACAAGAAAAAATTCTCAAAAAAACATCTAGATGATTCATTTATATAATGATTTTGTTGTTATTCACTAAAATTGTCATAAAAGTGAAGTTTTCCTTAATTTATTTAAAAATGAATCATAAAGATGTTTTTTTGAGAATTTTTTCTTGTGAATCATCTAGTGATTCATTTTTTTTGTTCGTCAAAAAACTATGTAGAAAAAAAAATTTCTTACCTTCCTACCAAAAAAATTTTCTTACCGGATCTATATCGTATATATATATATATATATATATATATATATATATATATATATATATATATATATATATATATATATATATATATATATATATATATATATATATATATATATATAGGTTGGCGGGTTGACTCGCGAACCTAAACAGATAA